GATCATTTTTATAAGGTGAGTGTTTTATGCTTTGATGTATCAATTGTGGTATAACAATTGTAATTGTTTGAAACGGTTTATTATGTTTCATATATCATTCGGATTTCATCTAAACCGCTCAAAAGTTGACCGGATATTTTCCTTAAACCGCCCAAGTGTTGACCGGTTTATTCTTAAACCGCCCAAGTGTTGTCCAGATATCTTCTTAAACCGCCCAAGTGTTGACCGGTTTATTCTTAAACCGCCCAAGTGTTGACCGGTTTATTCTTAAACCACCCAAGTGTTGACCGGTTTATTCTTAAACCGCCCAAGTGTTGTCCGGATATTTTCTTAAACCGCTCAGCCATGTCCGATTTATCTTTTTCTACTCTAAGTAATTGTCCGGATTTCATATCCGGACAAGGTTGACCGGACTTCAAATCCGGCTAATGTGTTGAAACTTTTGATATGAAATTTCTCAAGAGAGATGAAATGGCGGTGTAACCACGAGAGAGATGAAAAGATATGTGATAGATATAGATAAAATGTTTGTGATATACAGGTTTGATTCTAAACTGCTAGTTTAGAAAGTATGTTGTTGGTATGAGTTATATGCACTCACTAGACCTTTTGGGTCTAACGCTCAGTTGTTGRACTAACCTGTTTTGCAGGTCATCATACCTCGCAGGATAGAGGCAAGGGAAAAGTTTAGAATTGATAACTTTTAGTTACTCATAAATGTATCAAAGAAAGTTTTTGTTAATCTGTATTTTGTAAACGATGTTACATTTTGTGTTATGAGTAATATCATGTGGATTATCTGTATGGTGGAAATTGTGGGATGTTACAAAGGCCGTTTGCAAGATGTGTCCCTTCATTCTATATCCCGTACATTGGATATTTATGGTCATACATAACATGCATAAAACTTTCATGCCTTGTGTGTAAAACACATCATAACGTGCCATCATACATATATTTTGGCTATATAAACGTATCATCATTTCGTGTAATGCAAATATTCAAAATCATCTTATCAATTTCTTCATAATGCATAAAATATATTTATATAGCATATATGTATCTCAGTAAATCTCATAATGTACTCACCTTGATTATGCCTAGCTTTTCCCTTAATTCCTTTCTTCAAGCTTGATTATGTATAAAGAGAGATTCTTTGTTTTTGATATGGAGCTAATAGTAACACTTCAACCCTTATTTATAGGTGAATTCATTGCATTAACTACTTGTTCTTCTTGCTCCCAAAATTGTTCTCTTATGAGAGTTTAACACATCTTTTTTAGGATAAGAAAATCTTGACACCTCATGCTTAATATAAAGGAATCTTGACACATCATGCTTCTAGCTTTTATTTGTCATGCTTCTAGCTCTTGCTTGTCATCATGAATTTTGCCAACACATGCTTCTAGCCTCATCACTTTAGGTTTGATTTCTCATGCTTTGCCTTGTAAGCTACTTGCCTTGAAAATATGATAATTTAATAGATGCTACAGCTGCTGGCACCGTTTTAGAGTACTTAAATTACTCATATATTTGTATTTAAGGTTTAAAACATTGTAATTTAACAAATATGAAACTATGGTGTTACATAGCTGGTTTAAAAAAATTAGATGTTTCAATCTCCATTTACACTTGAATTTGGATTGCCATGCCATACTGCCGCTTAATCTGACTTCTAGAAGACTGACAACAATACAGCTGACTTGTGTAAGGAATCCCTGTATCACCAAGCCTACAATAGCTAACCGCCATAAAGTCACATTACCTAGTACCTACAATTTGCCAGAAATCCATCCTCCACGCAAAAATACTGCCTAGCATTACCTTTACACTACATGACAAATCAAAACCGCTACTTACTATTTTATATTCTCACTATGGATATGAGCTAACTCATACACAAGTGGTCCCACTTCAGTATCTTAGACAAACCACACCATCGAACTCCACCAAATCCACCTCCGACATTATGCACAATTAGAGGCACTGTGTAATTCTTTGGGAAAACAGCATCGTCGAGAACCAATTTTCTAGGATTGAACTTAAGATTTAAGCAACAGCTATTTTTTCTGCTTATTCAGGTTTGTAGATGCTTCACAACCATAACTTTTTAATAGATTGTATTACCTCTTCTTTGCAAAGGGATAGAATAAGTTACTTGGCGTCAAAGTTGGAATCACTACAAGTGCCCATCAAGAATTCCAGGCTCAGCCTCTAATTAGATAGCAACGGCAACATCTTATTTCTCAAAACCTAAAAGTTCCTGTCTCAGACTACCAAAGAAACTGTATCTACTGTTGAAAACACGTTTAAGATCAGACTATTTCTATACAATAATCACAAGAAATGGAACAGTAGCTAGCTCGGAGAGAATAAAAAGTAACATAATCCACAAGTTCATACTACAACTAGAAGATACCAAGTGAGAAAACCTACATAACTTTTGGCGGAGAAACAGAAAGTTCAAAATTTTCACGCCTCATATTCTCGAGCAAGATACCTGGTTCAGTCACACATACACACACAGTAGAGCAAGTCAGCAAACATAATGCCTCAGAAAATAACTAAAAAAATATGGGTACTTTAAGAGTATATCACCTAATTGAAGTTCTCCCCTGCCTTGAACCTCATATGATTCTGCTAAACCAGGGATTACATTTATGGCTAAATTTGTTTCTGCTTCAGCCAATAGGCGATCACCAATTTTTCCTCCAGTTAACTACAAGTATACAAGGACAGTGAGGCATAAGAAACTATAGTGAAACGATATCAGTCGTAATTGCAACCACACCGGAGTCGATTCATCCTATGGGAGTCAAGCCAATTCAAATATATTGAACAATTGGCAAATGAAACGATACTAAAACTGTCATAAGCAGCCATACAACATATGATGATAGAGAAATTAAATCACTTGTTAAAAGAAGGCACACCCATTTGAATAATGGAGGAATACTACATAACACACCTGATGGCTAGAAAGTGGCATGTCAGGTAAATAGGTGGAAAGGTTGAATAAAGTAAACTATTGCCTATCTCCCTGCATCTCACAACAAAAGAACCCACATGATTTAACACACATGTTTATGAGTTCTTCAGTCAGCAAACTTGAAACTAAATGTACTTTGAAAATGTATAATTTCCTTTAGTAAGAAATCAACCTAACTCAAAATAAGAGTTTAGGAAGAAAAAAAATATGATTTCAATTGCCTGAAGAGCTCAAAAACCTGTGCCAATCAATGACGCCAGACTTATAGTAAGATGGATGGAGTATATATTTCACTTCAATGGATGGAGCTTTAAACAAAGTGAGCTCAAACTCATTGAAATCATTAAATTTCAAACAACAACTGAAGACGAGAGAACTCGCTTGAAAAGCTAAATGGCCGCTCGTAAAAAGCTTTAAGGTTTTGTTTTACAAACCTCAAACAAGTCAAGTAGAGAGATCCAATAAAAGCATTTTTCACTATCATAAACAAATGGAGCTCAAGCACAAAGACTAATGTATTGTTCTATATTACATAGAATTCTAGATTTTACAGTTTACCTACTTTCTAGTTACTTCATAGAAAATATATCATAGCTACTTCCTTTCCCTAATAACTAACATATTATACCTATAAAGAAACTAGAGAAAGAGATTGATGTTATTATAATAAAATGTCAAATATCATAGAGAAATAATAATGAAGGGGGAGATTGATGAGAGACTGGTTGGCTATATGATTACATCAAAATGTACCCCGTGTGTAGTGTATACATAATATGTATTATGGTGAGAAAGGGAATTGATACATCCATGTCACAATTACATTAGAAGTCTTTATGCAGGCTCAAGCACCATTTTCAGCCAACTCTAATCAGTTATTAATTGGTCTATCCTACAGCTGAACTAATATATCATGGGATTTACACTAGAGCAAATAGGAGACTCTTTCTTATCTTACCTATTAAAGAGTGAATGGGCTGATTCTTTAAATTCTTGGTTCAGCATCAGAATGTCAGATGCATGACCACATGCTGCAAAATGCTTCTTATCTGGTCCAGTGAAGGAATTTACTATTAACTATTCTGTTCCATATGTTGGATAGAGATCAAAAAGGTTTTGTTAAGAGCCTTGATGGAGATGCTATAAGAAGTTGCTGACAAATTCTTGGAAACCATGACAGACAACTTCAACTTCTTAAACCCATATTATAGAGAGAGAACTTACTATTTACGTAGTTTATCATCATTTTGCAACCAAAAAATCCAATTCCTATCAAGGCTGATGGTTTAAGTATTTAAAAAAGATTTAAGAATGTTCAATTTTGCATGTTTGTACATCTTTTAAGTTAACTCATTGTTTTAAAAATCGGTCTAGGTTATGCAGTCCAGACACATTTTTGAGGTTATGCCTTTGCTGTTGGCTCTAAGGCATACCCTTCACATTGATGATGCACCACGTGATGCGAACCGAGTCACATGCGGCATATAAGGCGTATTTGAGGCGCACGGCTCTTAATTCTCCTCTTCATTTAATAAATGAAACCCTAACGCTCACTCTTCCCTCCCTCGCGTACAACTATGTATTCTCCTCTCCTCCATTGCATATGATTCTGTTAGCTAATCCAGCAGATTTATCGACATACATACCTTCGGGAGAAGGCGAGAGGGAGAAAGGATTCTGGAAATGTCTCAAGCAGTATGGAATTGGCCTTGATTGGATGCATAGTCTATGAAGATTTAGCCATTACTCAAGATTTTGATGGTATAAAGCAAGAGTGTTTACTATAAACAGGGTGCAGCGGAAGAATCAATACCAAATGAAGTTGGCTGAGACGTCCGTGTGAATGTTTGAGTGACTAAATTTATTTTCAAGTTGTTTTGAAGACACCTGATTTTTTTATCAAGTATCAATTAATTAAGGTATTTAAAGACTTCTGGAATATTAATGAAATTAGTTGACGTTTCCACGACTTGCAACCAGTAAATTTATGACTTCTATGACTTTCATAGTTTGATATGGAATTAAAGTGTTGTTTTTTATGAATATTTTATTGGTTTTATTGTTGAGGCTTACGCCTCGGTTCGCCTTGAGGCTTACATCTCGATCTACTAAGGGAAAACGCCTCGTCTCGCATTTTCGTCTCCCAAAACATTGGTTCAGACATGCTTTTTAGATCTTTAAAGCAAAAGGAGAAAGAAACCAATTGAATTTAAGAGCAGGTAGATGTGGTTTTCTGAAAATATGATGGTTGGAAGGGTAATCCAGCACCAACTCATTAGCCGAAGTGACACCTTGATAAAATTAACTATGAGCTCAAGAGCCCAAATGTAACTCTGAAAATTGAAGTGTTGCCTACCAAAGGGATGAGATAAGGAACCCTGAATGAAAAGAGTAAAATTTAATATAAAACAACATTGTTTTGATGTATCCTATACGAAAGCTTGTATAGATAGCTACATATTCACTTCCCCATATATATAATGTACCGTAGACAACGGTTCTAATTTTAATTCCAATATCATTTAAAATCGAATTATGAACTAACCTAATTAAAGAAAGAATAAATTCTGGTTTCTAGATTAACTTTCATTCTGTCATTTATGAACAAAGTTGATCACAGTAAATGGAAGACGATGATGCCTAATCTGAATGTAGAAGTGCAAAGGGGCAAGAGTTAGGGCATTGGACTTCCTATGAAATACATTAGCACAATTGACATGTAATGAACACATATGCAAATAGCCAAAGTCAAAAAAATTAGAATAGTAGCAAGGTTCTGACTCTGCACAGTTAATAGACTTTGAAATCATTGGATAACTATTAAAATAAATACAAACTACAAGGAAACCTAACTCTCTTACTTGAGAACCATCAAGACCAGCCAGTGGAGAGTCATTCACACCAAAAGTCATCGAAATGGTTGGAGGATCAAGCTCAACAGTGGGCAAGGCGGTCATGACCTGGCAGATAATTTATCAATTACAAGATCAATATCATTATGAAGTAAACCCAAGATTTGTACGGTTGTAATCCGATATGATAGAAAAGAAAAATGACCATTCAAGTAATGGATGAAAAAAGTAGAGTAAGAGAAGGAAGGCACCATTGGTGCCTGACTGTCTATGTTTATGCACATTAGAAGTTCTTCAAATAAGATAGTCATGCATGCAAATATTAGAGGACTTCCACCAAGGATCTCATTTCAACATATTGGACTATAAGACTACTGAAAGTAAAACCCCTAAAAGGGAGAAAGCAAGCAAACCAACCACAGATTGAATTTTAAAGTTACAATAATAACTCAATGATTCCATGTCTGATACTCTAAACACCCAACACAAAACACCTATGTACAAGCAAGATAAGACAAAGTATCAATGCCAGACAATAAACCTGCTAAATCTAGAAGTTGTGATTGATATAGTATTCTTATCACTACTTAGTGATGTTGAAATTGATGTGTTACATCTACATCAAGAAGTTTATCTTGCCTTGTCTCCTTTCCATATTTCTCACTTAGCCTACAATCCCTATCCTATTTGTATACTCCAATCATGACAAAATGAGCCTTCTTAGAGGCAGGGCTTTGATCCGGTCAGCATGCTCTAGCATGGTTCAGTTTAAAGATAGTACGAGTGTACAACTATTAAAACTGCTGATGGAATTTGAAAACTGCTAACAAGTCTCACAAGGCTGCCAGAAAGAACACCTACACAAATGTCAAAAAGACTGAAAGCTCCTCTAGAAGGTATCTTTAATCCATAAAGATGGGATTTTCACCTGATACTTTGTTCAAGTGTACAAAGGACGCACAATGTCAGATTTATAACTCTTCAGCGAGCAAATAACTTTCAATACTGTTGGACATACTAGATTGCATGTTGCCATGGAAGTATAGATGCATAAAATAACAAAATCACATCCTCTGGCACCCTCTTCCAAATGAAGCTCATGCTTCATGCGAAATACTTCCATCAGTAGTTTTGAGGGGGAAACAGAGAAAAGAGAAGAACATCGATTAGGTGTGGCAATATTTCTCTAACATCCATCTTTGACAAAAAAATTAACTCCAAGCAAATCCAAGAGCATAAAACAAGGCAAAGAGCATGATCATCTTAATTTGATAATTTGAATTGGACTTCTCTTTGTTTTCTATGTTAAGATTTCCTTGAAATGTATTGCTCTATTGTTAGTGATGCAAAACAGTTCAATCCCAATAAGGAAGATGGAGGACAAATTATAGCCAAACATGCCCGAAGAGAACCAATGGAGAGTGGAGACAAGTTGTGAATGGTTGCTGGGATCTGTCTCTTCATGGCAGTGTCGTCATTATCGCATGCATATAGTATAAACAAATCAAATATTGATAACAAAGAACTTATTGGGCTCTCTTAGCCAATATGAAAAAAGGATTAGGGAAGGACATTTGACCGTGTTGATGAAAGAGAAAACAGGTCCTCATTTTTACCCAATAACACAACGTTTTTATTCTTCACCAGTCCACACCTAAGTTTATGTGTGTCTAGTTGCAGATCCCCTTTTCCCTAGATATATTATGACATCCCCCTCTAATGGTTTGATCTCCTGTACCTGCCCATTCACTAATTTTCTGGTTGGATAGATGATCTGGTTTCAGAACGTACTTGAACCTTCAACCCAGTTAGCTTGAGTCTGCCACTGCCAAGCCCACCATCATTTTACATTCACTAGTGATTACTATTGCCCTTCGCATGGGCACGTGATAAGAGAGCAAGCTACTAGTGTCCCAAGCAAATAATCTATTGGTTCCATTGATCACAAGGCTTAATTCGCAAGAATCATCAAATGATACAGCAGCAACGTAATGGCCAAAACAAATGAAGGCAGGTGTGTGGACCATGTACTTGAGCAAACATGAGCTGTACAAGGAATGATGGTATTCTGTGATATATCAACAAAGTCTTAACTCGAAATAATGTCCAGTTCAGTTCAGTTCAGTTCAGACATCCACCACCTCTGACTCGATCCAAAAAGCAACAAACAGAAGGTTAATGAATAATAATCAGTTGCCTGCCCATAACAAGGCTTCCATTAGTCTTTTAATCATAGGCGCATTTCATGATGTCTGATTTGATCATGATTATACACCAACATGTAAAAGATGATATCTTGCTTTATAGCTGCATGAACAAGAGCTTAAAACATTTTTCAGCTACCGACACTTCAGCCATTATTTTAATCATTCCTTTCAAAAAATGTGTTGCGGGTGGTGGTGGGTTGGAGGAGAGGGGGACTAATGAATGACTGCCACAGTATTAGTTTAAGTCTTACCTCCACATTTGCTACTGTGTGCCCAATTGATGGACTCTTCAACCCTGCCATTGATATTATATCACCAGCACCGGCACAATCAACATCATACGAGATCATCCCTCTGTTTTTCCTTAGCTTCACAACCTAAACAAATATACAATACAAGCATTAAACAATAAAAAGTCCAAAGTGTTAATCTTGAGATAAACAGATTGATTAATTCAGTTAAGTATCTCACTAGGTCAGTAGGTTTTATTTAAACAATTAAAATAACAAGAATTTACACAGCAGATAACTCAGAGATCGGCTATTTTTCAACTTCAATTTTCCATCAGTTCCTTGGTAGGTTTCTCAAAGCATCTCCAACAGAATCTCCAAACTGGAGAAAATAGAGATATTGTAGGGGGTTTTGCTCCAACAGACTCCAAAATGGAGAAAAGACGAAGAGTGAAATTTTATGCATATTTGGAGAGAGAAATACTCCGAAATTAAATTTTGAAGAGAGAGTACGTTAATATTTTTTATTTATATTGGAGAGAGAACAAGAAATTAATACTTTATAAAAAGTTTAATTTAGAGTTTGTTGGATATTAAATCTTTATTCCTTTTATCACTTTCATTTCTAATCACAGTTGGAATTTCTTTCAGGGAAAGTTTTTACGCTTTTCGGTATATGTTTCTGTGCAGATTGTGCATGTTTTTAATTTGAGTAAACTGTGATTTCGTCCCTGTGGTTCGTGAAAGATTGCGATTTTCATCCCTTTGGTTCTGAAATTTCTATTTTCGTCCATATGGTTTGTATGTTATTGCTGTTTTTGTCCCTATGGTTTGTAATTTATTGTTGTTTCCGACCCTGAGACTAAATCTATTAAAAACCCTCCATTTAACTTAGGGGTATTTTAGTCCTTTTTCCCTTTTTGGTCTATTAAATATCTTTTTTGGTATTTTAGTCTTTTCGATTTTAATAAACTATGTATTTTTTTATAAAAAGATAACATATAAAAAATTACTTTGTTTTGTTATTGTTCATGATAAGATAATTAAACATTTTTCATACATTTCGTTTTTTCATATTTTTTGTCATTATAATTTTAGTTTCTTATAGTTTGATTTCTGTCACCAAGTCATTCGAGAGCAAGTCGTTAAGTACCCCTCACATAATAGTATTTTAATTCTTATTTCTTCATCAGGGACCATAAGAAACTAAAACTATAATGACCAAAAATATAAAAAAAACCTAATTGTATTACAAATATTTAATTATTTTATCATAAACAATAACAAAATAATATAAATTTCTTCTGTATTATTTTTTTATCAAAAAAATACAGTTTTATTAAACCAAAAAGACTAAAATACCAAAAAGAGAAATCAAAAAATATATTCAATAAACCAAAAAAGAAAAAAGACTAAAACACCCTAACTTAATGGAGGATTTTTAAACATATTTAGTCTCAGGACGAAAACAGAAATAAATTACAAACAATAAGGACGAAAATCGTAATTTCTAAACCATAGGGACGAAAATCGCAATCTTTCTTAAACCACAGGGACGAAAAAATCGTAGTTTACTCCTTTAATTTTAAAGGTTATGCGGGTGAAAATGCGTTCAAGGTGAAGAAAGAGAAGAAAGATCAAGTGAATGTGGAAGAGAAGTTTGAGAAATTTTGTCAAGAACGAGCCAGTGAAGATGGCTTTGTCTATCAAGAAGCAAAAGAGAAAGAAGAGAAGGAAGAGGTCGAGGGAAGAAAAAAAGAAGCATTGAAGAACATAATGCTTCGCGGCCGTAAGGAAGGCCTTTTAATTCATGAAAACTTCTCTGCCGCTGCTTCACGGCCATGAAGCCCTGTTGCTGAACTTGGTTATCTGCACTGTTTACCTTTCACGTGCATGAAGGATTTCTTCATGGCCATGAACAGCCCTAGCAGCCCAAACTTCGGAAGGCATTTTGAACTTTTTGCCATGCCTTTATATACTTTTTAGTGTTTTTCTCTAAGCATTCAGCTGTTTTCAGAAATAAGACTGAAAATACTCTAGAGTTTTAGTTTTGGTTACATATACTTGAGTTTGGGGAGGAAGAACGCTTGTGCTACAAGCTTATGCCATTGGATCTCGACTTGCCATCGGTTTGCAAACGCTGAGAATCTTCTTCCCTATTCTTTCAATTTCTGCAATTAGTTATTGTTTTAACCCAAGTCTTCCTATCAATGGGTTGTTCTTGAGTTTCTTTCAAATTTTTAGTTTGTTTGCATTAGATTCAAATATTTCTAGTTTTCTACATTTACTTCTTGTTTAGTCTTTCATCATTCTTTAACTTCAGCATCATTTGATTTCATTTCCTACATCTTCTTATGTTTCTTCACTGACTTCTTACATTCATGCACTCAATTTTTTTTGCATTTTATCAGTTCTTGCATCTGTTTTTCTAGGTTCGTTCTCATCTACTGCATTTAGTTAAATTTCCTGCACAATAATAAACTTCTATATGTCTAGTTTTAGTTCATTGTTTCTTTATATTTGCTTAAATGCTATTTTCGATTAGGATATAATGTAGTAGTTTTCTTGATTTTGGTTTTGCTTCAATTCATTGTTTAGTTAAATTAGTTTTAAATAACTAATTGTTGCTAGGTTTTTGATTCGGTTAACGTTTGATTCGATAATCATCAATTTGGGTCAAGGTTTTGGTATCAACCAATTATTGGGTAACAAACATCAGATTTTAACTAATCGATTTTTTACCTAATGAAAGTTAATATGTTGTCAATTAGTCTCTTTTTAGTGTTCGTTTGGGTTCAAATGGAAGTTTAATCCAAATTTTAGATTAAATTGGTGAGTGACAACAGTGCTAACATGAAAATAGTTAGGAAGGTTATTGGGAAAACGATTTGTTTAACCTTAATGTTACTTTCAAACACTTACAATTTTACGGAAGTAAAGGTAAAATTTGTTCAATAAAAGCTTTTCCACCTCGAAGAGAGTTGAAGTTGATTTGCATAACAAATTCTCATCATTACCGGAAATTCAATTTGATATTACCCAATGCCCATTAGTTTGTAGTTTGCTTCATTTTGTTTTTTCTTAAGTGTTCCTTATTTTACTTGCTTTCATTTATTTTACTTGCTTTCATTTATTTTGCTTATTTTCTTGTTCCAGTAGGTATAAAAATCAAACAAGCAACTGATTCACATAGCTAGACTAGGATCATTAAGTGGTCAGTGCATTGACCATCACCTCCCCGTGTTTGACCTGTATGCTACACTCCCCTACGCTTGCGGTATTGATTTTAAAACACGTCATGGCATATGCAAAAAAAAAGACGTCATGGCATATGCAAAAAAAGAGACGTCATGGAAAACAGAATTAAGTGCAACAAGTAGTATTTGATCACATACTTTTCCATCTTCAATTTTGACGACCCCAGAATCTGTGCTATGTAGTCCATGAACCCTGTCATTGATACGAACAACACCAGATGTAATACGCCCAGTCAAGATTCTTCCCACATAATCATCTTTTGCCATCATAGAAACCTGCAAATAACAGTTTTACTACTATTTCAAATTTGCCCAAAATAAGGAGGGAAGTGCACAAAGTTAAACAAAAACAGAACAGCAGAAGGGAAGTTGTTTCTTAAAGGATGAAAAAAATAGAAGGTTTTCTTAAAGCACTCTGCCTCAGGTTGAGAATGGAAACATCTTCTTTTAGTAACCCATGGCATCTCTAAACTTAAGCCAGAAAAAGAACATATTAGTTCCCACTGCTAATAACAAATCCCCCTGAAATATTAGAGGTCTGCCTGTTGCCCCTTTATTTTCCCATAACATGGTGTCCAACTCCAACTACAGAAAGTAGTGGGAGTTATTATTGGTGTCTTATACAGCAAGATATAAACACAACTAGAGCAGAATAGCAAACACATCAAGAAGAACATAAAACTAAATAACAATATTGCATTTTCACATCTATATTCTTCATGTGTTTCTTTCTTTCTTCTGTTTGTTGCTTTTTTAACCTCTTTCTCTGTGTTTCCATTGCAGACAAAAAAACACAAACCTATTAGATATCTACTTAGACTACGAAACCTACCGCCCACATCCCACAAGAACGGCATCATTATTCTTTTGAACGGCCTAAAATTATCTTTATTTCCCCACATTTGGTAAGCTTCTGCCCATTCCAATCACTACAAAAGTAGGTGTGGTTCATTTGGTCCATAAAAATTTGGTTTATTCTAAAGTGCAATGGTACTTTGGCCAATGGCCAATAGTCACTAAGTTTCATCAGTATGCATATACGGTCAAATGGTACATTTTGTCTAGATTACATAAACTTAAAATATATAACTTTATCAAGGATTATATAAACATAATATATAATCTTTTTCAATTTAAAAGCACAATGGTACTTTGGCCAAAGGCCGATGGTCAATAACTTTCATCAGTATGCAGACCTTACCTCTACCCCAAGGAGTAGAGATGTTGTTCAAGAGCGAAGGAAGTTCATTAAAATATAATATATATATATATATATATATAAGTTTGTCCAGATTATATAAACATGAAACATATAAGAATTAGAAGTTTGGCATTGTGCAATATTTATATAATTACTTCCTTTAATTACTAGTTTTACAGACTCATTGATACAGTTGCACAAAAAAGACTGGCAAACATTTCCTTCAGATTGAAAAATGTTGTTTAATGAGCAAAAGTTGAAAACAGTGGACTAATCATTGCCTAAACTTTTGCGACACTTAATTAAGCGATTAGTTGCTAACAAAGCAAATCATCCCAGGCATCTGATGAAGTTGCCCTAACTATTGAAGAGCTTAGCAAGGCCTAACATCTAGGCGGCCGCTTAAGCAACCCTAGGTGGGAATTTTTAGAACATGCCATGCAAGAATAAATCATGACTATATGTACCCCAGAAGAAAACAAATCCACAACATAGCGACGATATGTGTATCCAGACTACATCCTATAACCAGAAACTATGAAGATCATCTTTAAATTTTGTTTTTCATTCTTTCATGATAGATTTTCTTTTCATATCAAGTTGTCCTTTATTCCATTAGTTCACAGTGCAGCCCTAACTTCGTAACTAGTACCTTCTTCCCTGGTAAAATCTTTAAATTTAGCTGCATTTCTATCTAGCATAAGCTCAACTACTAGTGCAACCAAACATAAAGCCAAACTATTACAAGTACATTTTGAATCCCCAAACTAAAGAGAATTTCTTAACAGTAATACACCTCCATGGCCATCACCAGACAAAATCATTGAAAACTGGACTCCGCATACCACAAAGACCAACTAAAGGGACGACCTTTGTATGATTAATGATTTGGAAATGTTTAAAGTTGAAGATCTATCAGTAGCCTGTGCAGCTATGTGAAGTATGAGTACATACTTTATAACCAACTAAAATACCAACTAAGAAGCAGGTTTCTACTTCCTCAAATAATATATAAAACCCATTTAATGTGGATGAACGATAATTTATGTTGGCAATTTCAGGTCTTTACTTATAGAAGGATGCATGAATAAGTGTATATGAAATATATGCAAATGGCATAAAAGCACTAAATGTATAATGCACTGGAAATTAACCAACCAGCATTTGGAAAGGTTCATCAAGGTTCGCCGTTGGTGGGGGAACATATTTTACTATTGCATCAAGCAACTGTGACATATTCTTGGTATCATCTGGAGGATTCTTGGTGAATGTTGACGAAGCCCAGCCTTCTTTAGCAGAAGCATATAGAACCGGGAAGTCAAGTTGCTCCTCTGAAACATCAGTTTCATATATGATTCAGATAAGACAAAAGTAAAGAATAAGATAACAAATATAAAGAAAGCAACGAGCATGATCTGTTTCCCAATCTCCACACCTGATGCGCCAAGGTTTGCAAAGAGGTCGAATACCAAGCTCTCAACTTCATCACACCTCTCCTCACTAACTGCATGGAAGACAATCGATAATATTTGAACCAACTAGAACTCAAGTATTGCAAATAGAATAATTCACACGAATAACATGAACTTGAAGAGAGATCATACCTGAAGGTCTATCTACTTTGTTTAGAAGTAGAATAGGTCTTAGCCCATATCTTAAGGCTTTAGCTAGAACAAACTTTGTCTGTGCAAGAGGCCCTTCACCAGCATCCACGACTAAAATTGCTCCCTCAACCATACCAACAACCCGCTCAACCTAGGCATTTGTAAGAATGGTAGAAAAAAGAAAAAGGTGACTCGATGGTAATAAATATTCTCTGATAACGAATAATCATGTGCAAGCATCAAACAAATGATAATTGCAAAGATAGCAAGCACTTTCAGCATATTTTACAATGGTGTGATACAAATCCCTCCTACTGAGACATGGGGTTCTCCTAACTCATTAATAAGGACAAGCCTGAAAATCAAATAAGAAGTATTGAGTTCTGTTTAATTACTGGTTGCAAGTACATATCTATATTTTTTCAAGTTCTGTAATAACTCTCTATATCATTATAACCTCAAAACAAAACAAAAAACCACATGTGACTGATCTTTCTTAGCTTACCTCACCACCAAAATCTGCATGTCCAGGTGTATCAACCATGTTCAGCTCATTTTCTTTCCATGAAATTGACGTGATCTGCAATAGAATATAAAAAACTTAGTTTAGAAGGAAATCAACACAACTAACCTTGTAAAAAATAGGATCTCACGCATAGAAAGGCATTACCATACGCAGCAACAAAATCATCTTAGAAATAGTGACATGTATTACTACAGAAAAGGTACAAATTCATTATATTGCCAACAGACTGTAACTGGGATATTTAGCAATAAAACCAGAGCCTTCTAACAAATTGACTAGAGTTCTTTTTTTTATTTTGGTGGGGATCAAGTTAAGGACCATTCAGAAATTTACTTGTACAGGGCATCTTCATTATTGTCCCACATCTTTTGTAACTGTAAAACCCTTAAGCACTAGGTAAGAGATACCAATAACTGATATGATGGTTTTAGTTGATTTGGATGTTAATTGGGTTATTTTGTTGCTTAGGCATCAGTGGCAGTATAACAACAGTGGCTTGTCGAGGTGTAGTGGGTTAAACTCATGTATCTCCTTGGAATGATGGATTTGGCTACAGAAGTTTATAACAGCAAATCGCACATTAGTTGATTATGGATGGTGAGCCTTTTACCTGTCCCTTGTTACTGAACCACCAATAACATCCCAGCATGGTTTTAGTTGATTTTGATGTTATTTCGTCTAGCTTGTTGCTTTCAACTTGGGGGATACAAATTCAGATGTGATTGTGAATTGAGATCCCCTTATAATTCATTGATGGTGAGTTCATCAATGACTTCTCCACGTGGTTTAGATTTGAGCTAGCTTACCGCTGGCTATAAGTTTTAGACCCGGTCTCAAAATAAGTAATATTTCCCTTGTAAATTGCCAAATTAAAAAACTCTCAATTTGAAATGAATGTACAAAAATATAACAATTAACAAATAGCGACTTCAATAGTTCAAGACATCCACAAACATCTCAATGCTCAAGTATCATGAATTACATTTATCCCAGGCTAGAAACTTTATCTTTTAACAGTCTCATTATATTTCCTTTTCTTATGTTCATTGGATCACATCATTGGATTGTTTTTTCAATCAAAACTAATAAGCTTTGGCTTATGGCTTAGGTGAGTCAAGTTGAGAAAATTAAGAGAGAGACGCATACAGTTTGGATCAAAAGAAACTTCATTATCACATAGTATAACAAACATAGCTTTATCAATAAATGCAGATTGCATATGAGAGAAATAAAACCATCATCATCAACATCCCAAGTAAGATTATCACTATTCCAAAAACCACAATATTTTGTAGGTCTACATTACAGAAACATAACAAGGCAAAACAATTTGACCAGACTCAAATTAGGAACTTCCAAAATAAAGATTGCTAGTGTCAAAGACTCGAAAGAATGAAATGTAATTGATCTCTTAATGATTCAACAAAAAGAGTCCTGCCCCTTCAAGATCAAACTAACTTATTGAGTTTATACTTCCTCCATTGTAGAAGAAAAGTTACCCCTTTCCTGTTTGGTCTGTTCTGAATGCAAAGCTCTTTAGAAGTTTTGGTCTATAAATTGTCCTGAAGGCCCTATTCCAAACTTAATCATACAAATTCCACAAATTTAATGACAGTTAACTGTTATTCAGCAAACGTGAAACTTTTAAAATTTGAAAGAAAGACAAAAAACACACGCGCACGTAAACATAGCTCTAGTTTGAAAGGGCAAGTGTCCTCAAATTTATCAAAATTCAAGAGTAAAACCCATGAATTAATTAATACAATTAATTGCTAAAAGCCAGTATCACTCGCATATAAGTGGTCTTTACAGCCTAAACGAATATGATATACATCGATATATATATATACACACACACACACTGATCTTTTGAGTTGAAGCATATTACTTCACACCAATCACAAACAAAAAAGTGATCATTCGTTAAAATTCTCACTTATTTCTTGGCCAGGTATAGGAATATACAAAGGTTGCTTATTCTTGCCAATAGCAACACTCTAAAAAGCATAAGGGAATATAAATTACTGAACAGTGTATGCACCTTGGAAGCGATGGTGATGCCACGCTCCTTCTCAAGCTGATTAGAGTCAAGCGCACGTTCATGTGGGATGTCGGCGCCGCACTGGCGTAGGAGACGATCCATAAGAGTAGTTTTGCCATGGTCGACATGGGCAATCACCGCTACGTTGCGGAGGCGGCTAGGATCCAGTGCGCCGCCAGGAGCAGCTGAGTTGGAAGCAGCGGTAGCGGTGGCGACGGAGAAGGAGCGTGAGATGCCGGCGGCGCGTGCATGTAGGAAAGGTTTGAGATATGAGGAGGGGGAGGAGGAGGAGGAGGCGGAGATGGATTTTCTGGTGGTGGACCAGAGAGCACGAACCAGTGGTCCGACCATTCTCGTTGCTCTGAAATGGCTCGGTGGCGATGCCCTGTTTCCTAATGGGTTTTGTGGGCTAGATACAGTCCATCGGCTCTGAAAAACACAAACGATGTGGGGGGTTTTAGGGGTTTTGACCCGGGAAAACATCCCGGTGTACCCAGATGGGTACCCGGGTCCAAATCGTGCATCAAAAAATTTAGGCGTTATTTAGGGGTCGTTTACCAAATGCTTATTCGGATAAGTAAACATCAAGTCATATTATCTTACCGGATGAATATAGTAAGAATCAAGAATTTCACCCGGTATTAATGACACAAGGACCAAGAGTCTTACCCGGTAAGTGAGAACGACGACTCTTACCATGGTAAGAGCTTACCGGGTAAATTGTTGCATACGATACCGTTTTAGTGAACTAATATCTTACCCGGTAAGTAAATGATAATGTTAAATTTTACCGATAAGCGCTTACCTGGTAAGTGTTTGGTGAACGGTCCCTTAGTTTATCGAAATCGGGCAGAAGATCAAACCTAACCCGAACCTAAATATCCCTAAAAAGTTAGGTTTTGGATTTTTAGATTTCGGAATATTCGAGATTTTGCATAAATACCTTATTTCGGTTTTGGATTGGATTCAAATTTCGGACTATTCGGGATCCTAAATTATATTTTTGTTCAAGGGAAAACTCCAAAAAAAATGAAAATTGAGTAACGTCCTAATAGCCATTCATTTGTAAGATAAGTACATGTCCATACGAGTAATTAAAGATGTTTCTTTGTGTTCTATGCACGTGTGTATACCGTATAAATTACTTTTATGTACATGTACATATCTTACAGAATAATGATGATTAGGATGTTCATCGGTTTTTCAATTTTTTTACAATTTTCCCCTAAACCTAGTATTTGAATATAGATTTCAACTAAAATATATTGATTACGTTTTGTTGATTTGGTTTTGATTTTCTTTTTTCAAATTTATCTCAACATTTATTTTAGGTCATTGGTACTATAAAACTGTTAAAATAACGACCCAAATCTATTTATGTTCATATTACGTTTTTAATGGATTTAAAGTTTTTGGATTAAATTTTATGGTTTATTCAATTTATGTTTTATTCGTTTTGTTAATCAATTATCTGACTGTTTATGTTTTTGGATTAAATTATTCAATTTTATGGATTTAAAGTTTTTCGATTAAATTATTGTTCATGTTTCTTCTTTTTATTAATTTATTTTTTATTTGTAGTTATTGGGGATGTTTTATGGTTATATGACTCATTTTTTTGGTTAAACGTTGGATTGTGAAATGTGCCCACTGTGAGGGGCGACGCTAATTTGAGGACAATTGGAAATATCATTTGTGCACGTTTATTTCAGCTACATTAGAGAAATATTGAAGGGTAAGCTCGTAAGGATTGAAAATATTGAAAGAATTCTTGAAGATTTAGAAAAGATCACTTGGAGGGTACAAAAAGATGAATGGTAATTTGAAGATTTCTTAAGATCTGTTGAACAGTGCCCCTTTTGCCTAAAAAAATTAATCAGGTCTTTTTCTATTAGGTAAAGTTCATCATCTTCAACCTATAAATAAGAGACATTGGTGAAGCATTAGAATAGAGCTCCAGCAATGTAGAAGTTCTAAACATTTGTTTACATTTTATAGTTGTAGTTGTAATTTATTCTCGAGTATTTAATTTTCAGTTGTGTCTACTGTGGAGACGTTGTCGGTACAATTTGTATTTTATTTTCAATGCATTTAACTTTTAAGTATTTCTCTTATTATAGTATGTTTTTTTTTTTAACTTTAATTTTAGCTAATCACTTATTTGGATGTGTGTGTGAGTCAAACTTAAGGCTAGTAGGCAACACTTAAGTGTTGTCATCATTGCTAATTCTTAAGCTTTGTCATTTAAGTCGGGACTTGAGTTCAATGCAGATAAGCCGATTATTTTGAAGTGTTAATATTAAATATTTGACCCAGAGATTGGCGGATTCAAAATACGACTTAAGTGATGCACAGACGTTTGAGAAAATCTTTGATAGTCATGTAGAGGTACAAGTTTTGTATGATTTGTTAAGGTTCAAACTTTGGTCGAGATTTATACAGTGTTCAAAAAGGCGCGTCATGACGCGATATGGCACAAGATGTGTCTCCGCCGTTACGAAATGGTCCATAGCGTTTCTGTAAGGCGTGGCTCACGTCATGGCGTCTTGAGGCACTCCATGGCGTGCTGCGACGCGCATTTTTTTTTGTCACACGTGATTTTTTTCCAAATTTTTTTTATCTTTTGTGTTTTTACACGTTTTACTTTAGTTTTATATTTTTATAGATCTAATTAATCACATCACTCACAGTTTCACAAAATCATAAACATTAGAGACTCACGGTTAAAATGAAATAGTAAAATCACCTTTCTAAGTTCTATTTTAAATACCGAATCAAAAACCTGTTTTCATAATAATAATCTATATGATTTTTTTTTCTTCTAATATGAATGTACGTTTTTTAGTATCATTATCTAATTAGATTATATATATATATATATATATATATATATATATATACATATAGGGTCAGGTTCAAATGTTAACCAAAGTTTTTATGTTAACTTTGTTAACCGATCTTGGCCATTCAATCTTTTAATAAACGGTGGTGATAAATTATGACAAAAACTTATTTTTTTATATTTAAAATTTCATAAAAAAAGTGAACAAAGTTGAAAAGGGTATTTAGGTAAAAAAATTTATGTAACTCTCATATCATTAATTAATTGGGAGTTACAAAATAAAAAAATCTTTGATTTTTTTGTTAATTTATTTTTGTTAACGTAAGAAACATATGAACACAACTATATATATATATATATATATATGAACTATTAACAAAAATTTGACATATATATGAACTTGGACTGCATAACATTTATGAACACAATATTAACATAATAAGAATAACTGCGATACGAAATGAAATAAATAAATAAAAGGTATGAACACGATATGAACAGCTTGTGAACAATAGTTCATTCATTATAAACACATTTAGGAGCGATATTTTGTCAATTGGAGTTTTATACATGCATTGTATCCACATCGTTTAAGGTTCACCATTTGTTCATATTTGTTTCTGATCTTATATGGTTGTCCACCCCTTGTTCATATCGTGTTCACCCCTTGTTCATATCGTATAAAATATATGAACACATAACCCCAACGCTATGAACACCTGGTGCAGACACTTACACAAATATACAGATTTGGTATCAAGTTTAAAAAATAACACTTGTGTTCATATGATATAAGTAACATGAACACAATGGTTCATGATTCATAAAAGTCGGTAATATGACAATATGAAAATGGGTAGTGCATGTACTTCCATTTGAACATGTGAATTATGTACGTATTTTAGTACTTAAAGAAAAAAGATATCAATACAAGATGAATTATAAAAAATACAACACATCATAATGAACATAATTTCTATTAAAACGAATCTAAAAAAAATAAAAATCTATTACCAAGACATTCGCTTTGGTTAATTTCTTCAATTCCCTACCTCGAACTTTGATTGTCATCATAAGCCATTTTAATATTCTCGTTGTTGTCAATTTATTTTCCATTGCGTTTATCTATATTAGCTTGATCGATACCGAAAATTTTTACTACCGTGTTTTCTATGCGAATTAAAAACTGATAAAACAATRAACATGGAAGATCAAGATTAAAAATATATATATATTAATTTTTATAAATGCATATTTTTTGGGATTTGATGATTTGTAACTCCCCATTAATTGTTTGGGAGTTACATATCAAATCAATTTACTGAAATACCTTTGTAATTAAAATGTGAACATGAACATAAACCTACAAGAAGAATGAAATTTGATTGGTTGTCATGGTTTTTAAAGTTAACACAAAATTGTTGGTTAACATTTGATCTTCCCTCCATATATATATATATATATATATATATATATATATATGCAAATTTGTCGTCTTATGTTACGCCTTGAAAAACGTCGCGTCCTCGCCATGGCGTGTATGCTTGACCTCGCCTCACGACACCCCTTACGCCTTTTTGAACCTCAGATTTATATCACAAAAAGATTTGGGCATAAATCTTCATACTAACCAAACTTGATTTTTTCTATCAACTTAGACAAATTGGCAAGATTAAGAATCAGTAATGGTTGACATTTTTTGTGGGCGTAGTCTATAAAGATTCACTTTTTAGAGAACGGGTCTTTATAGACGTTTTTGTGACACAAAGCATCTAGCCATTTTGTTACTACATATATCTTAAGAAAAACCTACATTAATTCTCATTTTTAGTTTCTTGTTTATATTTCGTTGTGAAAATCATCAAAGTCGCTCAATTTTTTTTTTCTTCTCTAATTAAAATAAATGAATTATCCACTTACTACTCGAAACTTCGAAGTTTGATCCCTGTAGATACGATCTTGGTATTCTTACTACTTCATTATTTTGAAAAACGAACTCGATAGTGGTGTATACTTGCACCATTATTGTGCCAAATTACGTGTGTATATTTTTGCTACCAGCAGTGAAGTGGCGATTTGTTGATGGTGGAGGTAAGTGGGTTTGGGGAGAGGAGTTTGTGGGAGTCGTTATTTATGAGGATGGCGATGGTTTCGATGGCAGACAGAAAATGGAAATCAACACTACATATGTGTTATTTCTGTTGTTGTAAGTGTTCAAAAATCACTTTCTCTTATTCTATTATATATGATAATCTCATGACTTTAATGATTGAAAATTGAAAATCCGATGTGTTTGTATTCAAACAGTTATTATGTTTTGTAATAAATTATATATAATCACGAGTGTTTAAAAGTATCAAAATTCCATCGTCAAATATGAGAAGCTTGGACTTCGGAATTCATCTCGTAAGCGTGCCATAAACCTAAACCTAATGAACAATCATCCAAGTCAAGATTTTGCAAGTTACTGCTCCATCATCATATTATCGACAAGATGAAAGATTGTGTAAGAATGAGAACTAAGGTGAGATGCATAAGAAGGAATTTGGACCTTTGATCACCTTTAATTTCAAACCCACCCATGAATTGCGCTTGATACGGGATCTCGATGCATCTCATCTCGCTGCATCCTATCCTAATATGCATCTAAGGGTGGAAATATTTTTTACGCTTCTTACCTTAACTTTCATTCTCACCAAAATTCAACCCTTACTAACAATAAACACTTGGACTACATCACAGATTATCTAATCTTTCTACGAAAAAGCTTAAAACGTTTAGTAATATTTCACAATAATGATGTCTTGATGAGATCATCCCGACATCCAAACTTTGTCTTCTACAGTTTATCCACTGCAGTTTTCAACAGTAACAACAAGACTTTCAGAAAATAGTCCTTTTGTCTTTTCGAACATCAAGATGGCATTTACAGACTTTCAAGTGTAATTTGAATACTTTGTCCCAAAGTATTGAAAAAACGTTTCACCAACTCCTCTCGCATGAACTTAAAATGGTGTTACGATCACTCTGGGAGCATTAAGTGATTCATACATTCATCCAATTCATAATCACTCTGTGCTTATCTTTGATAATTGTGATTATCTAGTAAGTGATTCACTTACTTTACGTGAATCTATTTCTTTTTAAAGTAAAGAGAGAAACAACTGTATCTTATTTCAAGGTTTAAGTTCTGGATCAATGTCTACAAATGATTTTAAGGAAAATGGACGAGCAGATTCGGTATTATCAGCATGGAACTTAGAAAAGTGGACTAATTAAAGTTGATAAACCACTTCAATACAAGTATTTAATCTCTATTTCATGAACTTAGTTTGAATGTCATGTTTGTGGTAAAAAGAAAATGTGGGATATCATCGTTAATGGAAATTATATCCCAATAAAATTATTTTCAGATAGAAAATAAGTTTAAAAAATAGACTGATACCGGAGATGATTGGAATTGTTTGAATTTTGAGGTCAAAACACGATTTATGAAGCTATTGAACAAAGATGCATTTGAATGTGTTTTTAGCTGTTAAATTGTCCATAAAATATGAGAAAATTTTAAATAATACTCATCGAGTAAACTCTAATGTGAAAAGTAGTAAGATTAATGTTTTTGGATAAAATTATGACATGTGAATAAAGAATAAAGTGATTAATAGAAATGGAAGAATAGTATGTTATTTTTAAATATAAATAACCCTATTTTGTATATCTTTGATACTTTGAGTTTAAGTATATTCTTATTTATGTACAAATATACTTGTAAATGTAAGTTAATATGCAATCCTTTACATTTGTACAACAAATACAAACTCAATCTTAATCGTCCATTTAATTTGATAAATATGTGATTTCATAAAAGTTTTGATTGTTTCTTGATATAAAATATTGATCATAATTAATGAATTTTAGTCATCTTCTATAAATATTCAAATCATAATAAATAAATTCTCATCATTTCTATAAATATCTCAATTAATGAGGTTGCATTGATTGTACAAATGGATATGATTGCATTTGAAATATACCCTATATATATACACACACATATATTCCTTTTTCAATTGTATTTTATATGATTAAGTGGTTTCCAGAACCAACACCAGGCTAAAATCAGCTATCGTTTAGTAAAATTACAAATACACCCATATAATGACCCTATGTGTTTTTTGTGTGAATCTTAGAGGTGTTACTTTTTCCCGACATATTTCTATTCTTAGCTTTATTTCCATGCTTGATCTTTGTTTTCTTGGCCTACGAATTGCTTCTGAGTGGGGCCATGAAACCATGACATGATTCATGATTCGATCTGGCACACACTCTTGTATTTAGGAATCATATCGAATTAACAAGGAACCCCGTTTGATATCTTTGGATTTCATTAAACCATTAAAGTTCTAAATGAGGAAACAAATAGAAAGAAAAAAAACGAATAGACGTTACACATAAAAAAACCATTATACATGTAAATGCACAAGAACCAGGTCTAAAGATAGACACACAGTCGTTGTTTGCTTCGCCTTTTCTTCAATTTTGGAGGTTGTAAAACTACTCTTATTGCAGCATCAAACACCCCCTTAACATTCTGATTATAAAAGTATAGATTATAAAATATTAAATCCAATTTCATGAAGTTTGATAGGAATATGTTGAATATACGGATGAAAATTTTCCAAACCTGTTGAGTCTTGGAGCTACACTCTAAGTATACAGCTGCACCGATAGCTTTCTTCAGTTCTTCCCCCTGTAAAAATTGTGTTTTAATAGATCATCATTACTATAATAATATGTTACAACTATTTAATGCAAGATCCGAAAAAAAAATCATGGTCAAAACCGATGTTTTTAAACGTCATATATTCGGAAAACTTTTCTAGATTTTATTACTGGCTATGAAAGTTGATGGGCTTACCTGAGAAGTTGTGATGGGTGTCACATTTGGATGGTCACTCAAGTATTGCTTGTCTTCGCGTAAATCTGATGGATTCCAAAAGGCAAAAAAAGAAACATCATCAGTAAATTTAAACTGAGTGTTTGATAACTGTTGATTATATGAGTATTTTATTATTACTTGGAATTGAAATAATCAGATTCAAGAAATAAGTAATGAGTTGTTGACAAATCAATTTAAATATTGAGATAAATTTTAATTATGCAAGTATCTTTATCTTTAAGCATCCGTTTTGATGTTCAAGTTGCAATAATTATTTTAAAAACACATTCTAAATATTAAAACTGTCTTAATTTAAAGAATGAACAAGAAATATCTTAATTTGAAATGGATAATGTTCGTTTTTAACCCTTATCCAATCCAATATAATCTAAATGATATGATCATTCCACTATCTTTAGATCAGATAAACAAGATCCATAAGAAAAAATAATAATTTTATAAAATCCCTTAAAACTTATCAATTTTAAAGCAAATGTTTGAGAATGTTACCTAGTTTGGTTCCCACCAACACAATCGGCACGGTTGGAGCATAGTGTCTCAGCTCCGAGATCCACTATCAACAAAAATACAACATTTAATTCAACATATCTATACTATATTATAAAACATTTGATAAAAATTCTTAAAAACTATTTTTTGTGCATGAAGTACTGTTTATTGATACATATTACTTAAAATTCAAGATTACGAGTAATTGTGTGAGTACCCTTCTTGTTATGTTATAAAGCATTTGCATAAAGCTTTTAAAAATCATTTTTAATGCATCAAATATTATTTACTGATCCATATTACTTAAAATTCAAAATCACAAGTAAATGGTGCATAAATACAACTTTCTAAAATTATATGTTTGAATTCATATAACTAATTAATAAATATAATTAATAACAAAAAATATATTATCAAACTTAAAATAAATTAATTAGTTATTAAACTCAAATTAAATTATAATAAAAAGATTAAACTAAAAATTATAATAATTTACGTCGTTATTAAACCTAAATTAAATTATACTAAAAAAATTAACTACAAAAAACAAGAATTTTTAAATTGTTAATTTGATACCAATAGAAAATTTTATGGTCTTCACATTTATATTTTATTTAAATATAAAAACATTATCATTTTTCCAAAACCATACAAAACTGTATTATAAAATGGAATACTAAAATCGAGATGTATCTCATTACATTGCACAAATACGCTTATAGTAATTTAATAAAAATATTTTAATCATTAATCAAAAGCTTAAAATGTCATTATAAATACAAAATAAGAGTAAAACTACATTAACACAAAACCATATTCTTGTTTTGAAAAACCAACTTTAAAACTTTTCAGCTAAAGAATCTTGCAACCAACTTTCGGGTCCAAACTATGAGCAAAAACAAAGAAGATTCTAAAAATTGGTTACCAAAAATAACAAAAAACACAAAATACATTATGCAATTTATTCCATATAAAAGAAAATAATACTTCCACTTCATCTCACAATAAATATTTATATTTATCTCAAAATAAATGTCTAGTTTAAAAAGTAAATAACTAAATTCTCAAATTTACTGTTAATTAATACACAAATATTTAAGAGTTGTAAAGTGTGAGGTAAATTAATTAAAGTTAAAGTTATCATTTGATTAACTAAAATAAAAGTTGTAATAATTATGCATGTTTAAACTGTATGCAAATTTTATTATAAAATATAAAGACTTATTTTGGGACGAAACGCCGAACAGAGTAATTTATAGCAAATAAAAAAGTAAACTAACATTAAAAATTTGCTTAAAATATGTATAGCAAGCTTTTGATTAAAAAAAAATACAAGTATAATTGCGTGATATACAAGGGGTATGAGTATGAGTAAACCTTCTTGGAGATGTTTTCATAGCTGGGTCTGCTAATAAGTGAAAAAGCCAATAAAAAGACATCTGCTCCCCTGTAACTCAATGGCCTCAGTCTGTTATAATCCTCCTGACCTGTTTTACATTTCAACATTAAGTTCTTAATTCAATAATATGCATTAAAATCTCATATTCTAACATTCACGTTAAACACGAATTTCATTAGTCAGTTCGTATTTTCAGATGAATTTATAGCTTTTCTACACTAATTTACTAGTGAATCATCATCCTTACTTGCATTTTCGTTACAAAGAAACAACAATGTGTAAAGCCTAAAAAATTATGGTGATATTTTTACAGATTATGATCATATGGAGAACAATGTTGTCTTAGATCGTATGAATTGTGACAAAAAAAAAACAAAAAAAAAATGATTCAGATACTGATCGCTTTTTGGCATCGTTCTTGTGAAACAAAGCAACAGATCATACAGCCCTAACATCAGATCTTATGTTCGATTTCCATTGTATATCGTAAAAAATTTGAAGAATTGAAATCATTCAACTGTTTTGCATCAAATCGGTGATATAATTTGTTAAAAAAGTAGCAAAAATACGAGAAGAGTTAGTTACCTGCAGTATCCCAAAGGCCGAGATTAACAGTGCTCTCACCGACCACCACGTTCGCACTGAAGTTATCAAACACCGTAGGCACATAATCCTACACAGAAAAGAGAAATCGAACTCCGATGAAACTTTTACAGTATAATTTAGTAAATGCTTGTAATGAATCAGAGATTATGAGATCATACGGTGGGGAAGGTATTGCTGGTGTAGGAGATGAGCATGCAAGTTTTTCCGACGGCACCGTCGCCGACGGTAACACATTTGATGAATCTGGCGGCAGCCATTTCCGATTACGATTGCTTGAATTTGGAAGGTGAAGAGGTGGATTGTGAGGGGGGAAGATAAAAGGGAAATGGTGTGTGGGGAAGGGTTTAAATTTTGAATCAAAATGGAGGGGTCCTTGCACATTTAACTCTTTTCTTTATTAAAAAAAAGATAAAATGTATAAAAATATATTTTTAAAATAAATACATATTTTAATATTAAAAAAAATATATGTTTCATAACATTATGTTAGCATTAGATATTAATAATGGGAAAAAGTAATAAAATGAAATAAAATTTTATAAAATAAATGAAATATGCATTACAAATTTAGTAGAAAGATACTCGCATAATGTAGCGAGATACATCTAGATTTTAGTGTTTCGTTTTTTTGTCTTAGTCGATGTTATAATACGGTTTTATGTGGTTTTGAGAAAGAGATAATGTTTTTATTTTTGAATAAAATATAAATATGAAGATATCATATAAAATATTGATATTAATATCAAACTAACTATTTAAAATTTCTTTTTTTTTGTGTATTTTTTAATTTCTTTTTTTAATTTTTGGCTTAATAATATAATTTTTTTATAAAGATAATAATATTTCGTTAGAACTCAATGATTATCCTAATTATATTTTAGTTTTTTTATTTAAAATGAAACATTTATCCTATATTTGATTATGTTTATCTAAAGTTAGTTACACGAATTCAAACATGAAACTTTAATAAGTTGCACTTACAGTTTACTTGTAATCTTGAATTTTTAATAAACAATACTTCATACACAAAAAATGATTTTTAAAAATTTTTATCAAATGTTTTATAATATAATATAAATAAAATTATTAATTTTATGAAAAATAAAATAAAATAAAATAAAAATGTATATAAAAGTACAAGTTAAAATAAAATAGAATAGATTTGAAAATATAGTCAACTTTATAATGATTGGAAATTGGGTATAATGTTGCTTTAAGTGGAAGGACAGATTTTTAAAGATTGTGGTGTTTGGTTTATTTGGAGTTTGGTGTGAGTGTTGGATATATTTTCAAATCATCGTAGGAATCCAAACTAGATCATTACTTATATTAACATATATTAGAACTCTATTTGTATAATGTAGCAAGATATATTTTTGATTTTAATATTTTATTTTATTTTTTATTTCAGTCGATATTATAGTATGGTCTTATGTGATTTTGAAAAAAACGATGATGTTTTTATTTTTGAATAAAATATTTGAAAACATCATTAAAAAATGACAAAAATATATCGATATTAGTATCAAATAAACTATTTAAAATTCTTATTTTTTGTGTAATTTTTTAATTTAATTTTTAATTATTATAATTGAATTCAAGTTCAATAATAAATTAATTTATATTTAGTTTAATAATATAATTTTCTTATAAATATAATAATTATTTATTTTGTTTGAACTTGATAATTATCCTAATTATATTATAGATTTTTTATATTTTAAAATGAGATGTTTATTTTCTATTTGATTATGTTTATCCGTAGTTACTTATACGAATTCAAACATGAAGCTTTAATAAGTTGTACTTATGCATAATTTACTTGTAATCTTAAATTTTAAGTAATATGCATCAATATACAGTACTTCATACATAAAAATTGGTTTTTAAGAGTCTTTGTCAATGTTTTATAATATAATATAGATTAACATGTACATGATAAATAAATTGAAATTTCATCAAAATATTTTGAAGAAAAGGTTAACTACCAGTAATTCTGACCAGTTTTATATGGAATCCATACCTAGTCAACGTTTAGATCTGACTCTACCCATACTTTCCTGGTTCATCCCAACATTCTCCACTTGTTTGACTGGGAAAAGCGTGAAATTCTTTTTCCTTTCCGCAAGGACCAGGAGATTGGATTTAGCAAAAAAAAAAAAAAAACGTTAGCTAGGTAAGCGTCTTGTAGTAAGAGGGGTAGTTATGAATCTTGTAGACTATCCACATGGGGGTGGTGAAGGAAGGGCCCCACGAAACTTCTGTACTAGAAACAATGGTATTTCTTTCTATAAGAACTATATGTGAAGGTTATCATGTTGAGGCACGTCCAGGGTTCGATCTCGACCCTTTTGCTAGCTTTAACCGTTAAGCGAGCTAAAAAAATATCCCCTTACATTGATGTCGCTAAAGACAGAGTTTTATATAGGACAATTAGAGTTATGGATAATCAATGTTTTAGTTTTTACCTAAACATAATTGCTGATATTTTAAAAGGCTATTTTTATTGTAAGAATATATTATTGAGATATGATTATACTAAATTATATGCATCACATTTTAATACCAAAATGTTTTACATTAGTTAATTTATATTTAAATAATGATTTATATGAATTAAAATAAATGTTATTTTAGTATTTATGATAAAACTAATATCGACATAAACAATATTATAAAAATTTAAGTAATTTAAAACTTATTAAAATATAACTAGAAGAGTATTTGTGCAATGCAATGAAACATATTTCGATTTTAATGTTATATTTTATTATTTGTCTCTGTCGATGTTATAATACGATTTTATGTGTTTTTAAGAAAACAATAATAATTTTATTTTKGAATAAAATATAAATTTGAAAAAAAATATATCAACGTTAATATAAGATCAATTATTTAAAAGTTCTCATTTTTTATGTAATTTCTTTAATTTATTTTTTATTATAATTTAATTTAAGTTTAATAACGAAATAATTTATTTTTGGTTTAATAATATAACATTTTATAAATATAATAATTAAGTATTATATCTTTATCATGTATTTGATTATATTTATCTGCAGTTAGTTACACGAATTCGGATATGGAACATTAATAAGTTATACTTACATACAATCTACTTGCAATATTGAGTTTTAAGTAATATGCATTAATAAACAATACTTTATGCATAAAAAATGGTTTTTAAGAGTTTTTGTCAAATGTTTTATAATATAATATAGATTAGTTAAATGTTGTAACTAATTATAAGACTTTGTGAACTAACAAAAATATAATTAAGTTATAAAATGAAAGTTCATTAATCAAAATGGTTAAAATGAAATACTCCAAGTGTTAATAGTTTGGTTGAAGATAGCTTTTTGCACTTTGACATATATACACTAGCTAGTAAAATCGAGAACAAATCAAAACCGAGAGAAAGACCAAACAAAAGTTTCCGCAGGTTTCCAGGCAGTACAACTCGCAGCTAAATCCGCACCGTGAAAGGGATCTGGGGACAGAAGCTACCACGGGTTCTCACGCAGCTATCCGCCAGCGCCTCTCAATGGGTCCACCTCCGTTTCCCTCGACTTCCTTTTCTTTTGGATTATTAGCTTTATAATTAGATTAGAATTATTGCTATTAGTTGATTTTATTAATTAATTTTATAGTTGATTCATGATTAGGATTAGATTTGAATTTAGGGGCCATTTACCAAACTCTTACTCGGGTAAGCGCTTACCAAGTCATGTTACCTCACAGGATTAATATGGTAAAGACCAAGAATCATGCCCGGTAAAAGCGAGACAATGACCAAGAGTCTTACCCGGTAAGTGAGGGCGACGACTCTTATTATGGTAAGCACTTACCGGGTAAATTGTTGCATGCAATGCCGTTTTGGTGGTCTAAAATCTAACCCAATATGTAAATAATAATGTTAAATTTTATTGATAAACACTTACCGGGTAAATATTTGATAAATAACCCCTTAGTTTCTTAGTTATCTCTTAATTAGTTTAGTCTATAAATAGGATTTAATTTTTTATCGTTTTTTAAATTATAGATTAATAAATTAAGTCTTTTTTCAGAGTTTTATTCCTAGTTTTAACAGTTTTCTCTTAATTCTCCGAGCATCTCGTTGTAAGGCTCATTATCTTAAAGGGTTTAGACGATTGTCGACCTTCCGCAAATCCCGTTTACGTCACAATTTAACAAATAATTATTTACTTACTTTATTTTTTTTTTTCATAATTCAAAATTTACTGTTTTTATTGAGCAAGAGATGCTTATCCAGTTAAAGATAATGATACTATCAACAATCTTATAATACCGTTTTATGTATTGACCAATAATCTTTCAAATAAATGAAGGTGATGACTCTTAACGAATCAACGCTTACTAGTCAGAGATGATGATGTTCATCAGCAGTCTTATTCAACAAGGTAAGTGAAGGTGGTGACTCTTACTCGAACCCAATAACAACCCCAAAATATTTTAGTAGGAATTTTTGTATTTAAAATAGAAGCGATACCAACAGGAAGAACACACCACCATCAATTTCAGTTGTATTGAGCATGGTCAAGAAATTATAAACTTGTTCTTGTCAGGGTTTAAACTTTAGGACCAAATTTAAGGTATGAATCTATTTTAAGTGTTTATAGCACGCAAATTGTGAGAAATGGTGGTTGATTTCAGTCGTAAGTAGTTTATCATGACCAATTGGAAATGACGGAGATATTTGTGGTCCATAATGGAGCCATGTCGGAGATCAGTGTGCAAGTTTGGTACCTTTCGGATGGTTATGAGCCCGTTTCATGAGTATAACTCGACTTGAAAGGAGATCAGGGATGACCGAAACTTTCACAGTACACCTTAAATTCTCTGTCTTTTTATATGTATATGGTGATTTGGAGCATTGCTAATAAGAAATTTCCTAAAATACCCTTCTTAGACAAAATAAATGTTATCACATAGCTTTGATTTTGAGTTTTCTACAAAATTCAAAGAAGTCGAGTTAGAAATTTAAATTTAATCCGAAAAACAAATCGTAAATTTCCAAGTATGCTTGGTACTTTCAAATGCTCAAAGTTAGGTGAAAATAATGACGAATAAAAGCAAATATCAATCATGACGAAATTGGTCCCTATAATGATGTGAATGATTCATAATCGATTTGACACTTAGAAAAAAGGTCATAAGTAACCTCAACAAACCTTGTAGGTTACTTATTGTTGGTCCCGAAAGGGATGATTGATGAATGACTAACGAGAATTGTTGAACGTGTTGAATATAATTTTAAAACGGTTATCAGTGACGTTTGATTCAC